CCTCTGGAATCATTTATTTACGTAGGGACACCGTCCATAATTCTCGACAGCACACGTCAAACACAACAGCAGGGAACGACAAAGATCGTTTGAACATCAGTAGATATAACTCTCAGACGATCCTCGTCACTATGACTAGAGGAGCACAATATGAGTCAGCATGGCGCAAAATATGTACATGAAAGACGTGATTCGGTCGACTGAAACTTGGTTCCAATAGACCTACTAGGCAGTGCAGAAGCGTAGAAGGACGTGACGCATTCGGCTGTTCTTCGGAAGACTCTCTATGAGGTCGTCACATCCTGATCTGATTGAAAACCGGGTGGATCTAAGCAGGAACAGTTAAGAACACTGAAAACTGCATAGATCATCGAAGGTGAGAAATACTGAAAATAGTGGATGAGAAAATGAACAATTAGGAACATAATTGGAAAGAACTCTTAAAAATCAGATCAAAGTATGAACATGGATATATATTGATTTGCTTTTTTTTCTATCTGGAATGCTATGGCAGATGGTACATTTTTCTATGTGAATCTCGAAACTACGACGGAACAGTATGACGAGAGCTCAGGTCCTGTACAAATCACCGGGGCATTACAAGCCGACGGGCCAGGCCGAGACGACGGTGATCCTGAAAAGTACATTTTCACGTGTTCATATTAAAAATGTATCGAATCCAGAAAGATAAAAAAAATCCAAATCCAGAAAGATAAGTATACTCAAGATTATTTTTAGGTGCCTAGGAACAACTTCTAAGGAAGGAAACCTTACCAGACTAATGAGGCCTGTTCGCGGCTTCGAACCACCTGCCAATCTATCACAGTTCTCACGTAATAGAAAATGCTCAGTAAAGGCTAAGCGAGAACGTTCACACTAAGACCTTCTAGAAATCAGTCCAGAAAAAAAACGGTGACAATAGTTGCTACCTTCATTACCACGAAGACCATATTTAACTACCAAAATTCGCACCAACATTCGCCGTTCGTTTAACAGAGTTCGATGCACAAATTCTTCAAATCGACTTGATCAAAACAGCGTTATATGGTTAGACTTGGACATATTAAGACCTTTTTCAATCTTCACAACACAAATTAATCGTACTAGTGGTGTAATTAACTAAGTTTTACACCTACATATCACCGGGACCATATGTACTCTTTTCTTCTGGGAAACATCGGAACATACAGTAATCATGCGGGTATAATGCTGTCCGCAAGCGCAAAGGAGGGTTGTTGCTGCACGAGTTTTCAATTTCCTCAGTGGTAGTGGTTGAGGCTTTCCTTCGCTTTCAATTTTTCGACACAACACCGTTACAGATTCTCTGTGCAACTAATGCTAACTTTGAAATTGTGCTTCCACAGAGGTAGAAATTCCCGAGATGTGATGTTCTCGGCCCACTCTTCCCGCATCCGCGCCAGAACGACATTCTTGAGATGATTCCATACCGATCCGATTAATTTCTTCTAATTAATGAGGGATCGAAGTGCGTCATGAAACAAAAGACCAAACAGTATTTGCAAGACAGTGATTCTATTTCCCATTATTCGAATGATATTTCTACTTATAACGATCGTTCTCAGTGTTAAGCACTTCTCTACTGAATGGAGTTCTTCATGAAAGTTCTATCACTACTTTTCCTTAGCTCAACGAAATTTGCTACTGCAGAAAACTAAGGTGCATTTTCGACCGCTATTATGGTAATAATAGACGCTCTTTTGTCTCTTGATGGGCAAACCAGCCTCACTTTTTTGCTTTTAAACTTCGGCAACTTTCTTTTAATCAGTAAAACCGGAGAGACCAGAAGAGACCAGAATTACATTGTATCAGTTCACCTAGAGAGAAAAAGAGTGCAGACAAACATTTGCCGCAAAATTAGATTCGACATTCAACTGCTGAGCTTAGCTGGGCTCGAACTACCTTATTATGCAAAAATTCAGCCTCGTTTTCTCAGGACCATTTACAAAACATGAAATGTCTCGTACAACGTACGACATTAATAAAATCCATAAGAGTTATTGTGAATCGGAAATTTGGTAGCTTCCACATGAAACCTGCTGAACTTCAACTTTCAAATCCACCTACCTAGAAATATTTTTTGAACTACGTAGTGTCGTACTGATGCTGCTGACGAGCTCATGAACGGTGCCAGAAGAAAAACATCGAGAGCCGGGCGGGGATGGGCGAGGTTTCGTTGGACGGTGGGACAACAACCGGAGGGGACTGCCCAAAGAGACAGTCGTCGATTGGGGAACTATTGTATATGGTGGACTGAAAAAAAAGTTTCTCAAACTAATAAGAACAGTGGAGAACAGCGACGAAAGTTAACAAATATGGTGAAGAATCGAAACAAACGCAAAAGTGCACTAGCGATCAATCGTCAGAGAAATCGTTGCAAGTGAAAGTGAATTCCAGATCCATTGAGGGCAAATTTCGGGCGAACACTTGCCGACAACGGTCGTTTAACCCAAAACGCCGTCGGCGCGATATCTGGTCGTGTAGAAGTGACCACAAGGAAGTGCACCCACTCAGTGAACATTCAATTAAACTAAAACAGATGGGACAAAATCTCGAACCGCGTTTTTCCATATGAGAGGCTTCATAGAGATGGGCAGAACATTACCTGGGTGTTAGCACGAATTTTATCGATACACAGAGCAGTAATTTTTTATTTACTGCGTATTCGTATGAAATGCTGAGATATTTGCAAAACTCTGGACCACAGGTGTATGCAGTGGAGAATGAACACGCGCTGTTGTCCTTACCGGGGAGCAGCGCACTTCTCCACTACACCATCCGGGTCCTTCGAGAAAGATCGATAGAACTAGCTGGGAGACAGGCAAGACGAAGGACCCGGATGGTGTAGTGGTGAAGTGCGCTGCTCCCCGGTAAGGACAACAGCGCGTGTTCGTTCTCCACTGCATACACCTGTGGTCCGGAGTTTTGCAAATATCTCAGCATTTCATACGAGTTATATTTCGTAGCATACCCTGCCATTAAGAAGAAAAAGGCAGTAAATAAAAGGGTTAAGATTACTGCGTATTCTTTTTTATGGCAGGGTATGATGTGAAATAATGTATAACCACGAGAATCCTGAGATATTTCCAAGACCCTGGACAGCAGGTCTGCGGTGGAGATCGGACCCGCTATTACTTTTTCCAGGGCTAACGTGCTCACCACCGCACCATGTGGATCCTTCGTTTGGTATTTCTCTCAATAGTGTTTACACCACGAAAAGGTAATAGCAGGTTCGACCTCCGTCGCAGACACCTTCGGTCTAGAGTTTTCCAGAAACCTCAGAATTTGTTGTGTTATCGGTACATTTTCCCGGATGTTTCTGATATTGTTAGAAGAGACGGCACAATGCAATGAACAAACCGACGTTGCCTAAGCGTAGGCCTCATAGAATAGTACTATGGAGCCGTGAAGCCGCAGCTAGCCGCGAAAGCAAAAACATCGACTGCGTAATGGAATCGCTCAAGCAGCGGCTAGGAAACGAAATTGTAAACATTTCAAAATAGTGGCCATCATGAAGATACGCAGCGTTGGAGAGGGACTTGCCGACTGCAAAGAGCAGGCATCGTCGTTTGCTTCCCAGTGATTTCTGGATTTGCTGGCTGACCAAAACAACGGAATGTTGAGGCCTTCGGAGGAGATGAAAGAACACGTGGATATATGTGAACAGTTAGGATAGATCGGGGTCCAGATCACAGCGAAACGTCGATCAGCACCATGACGAACAACGAACACATCATAACGCTCCAAGGGAGTCAACTGTATAAATTGCAACGTTTGAAGTGTCACTGAAGAGGCAATTAATCTCAATCGAACCAAAATTCCAGCCAGTGGATGCTTCGAAGATGTTGGAATTGTCGATCTAGTTCTTCTCTACGATTCATAACGTAGTGGTTAAACAGTACAAATGCATCTAAGTATAGCATCAAAACCTTGGTTGTCATAGTACATGTGGAATAAATACAAAAAGAAGAGAGGATAGGGCATTTCTCAGATGAAATAAAATGGGTATAATCTGACTCGCGTAGAACTTCTGTGTGGCGTCGGTACTAACTGTTTAAATTTCCCGTTCATTATCCCTGATATGAAGGACAAACGGTGCCATCACTGATGTCAATGAATAAAAAGAAATATGACATAGAATGGCCCAATGTGATTTTTCCGAGACCTATTTAAGAAAGAAGTCCCTAACGTGACGATGAGGGATTCGTGAGAACCAATGACATTTGCTATGAGCGAGCTGCTGCCTTTCTAAATCTGAAAGATTCCATTAATTAAAGTTATAGATAGAGAATGAGAGCTGGTCGTTCAGTGAAGATTTCGGCACGTGGTGGAAGCTCCACCGAAAGGAATAGCATAATGTAGAGTTCGTAGTTGAATTCTTCTCTTAGAGAGATTTGGAGGAAATGCATCTGTTATGATTCTAGAAAGAATCCGCAAAATTAGGGCTCATACAATTAATCTGATCAGCAGCGAATATGTCACAAGGAACAGGTTCGAGAAAGGTTATTCCGTCGTCAAATTTAATTTCGTGAGTTTTTGTTATTCCGTCGTCAAATTTAATTTCGTGAGTTTTTTAACCAGTAGAAAAATAAATGTATCCTAGACGGTAAAACGTGGAATTCGAAGGAACATGCGTTTCGAGACGAAAAGAACACGAGCTGGTCTCAGTCTAATAGTCTCTGCCGTCTGTTGAGTGGCTGGAAATCGGCTTAAGACAGCCGCTGTGGATTTTTGGACGTCATTCGCCGCGACTGCGAGTTTCGATGAAGTGCATGCGTGCTGATCAAAGAGTTGCCCGGGAGAAATACGAGCGTAGCTAGTAGAGTGCTTTTCAAGGGCGTGAGAGCATTGCGTAACGAGGCGGAGGAGGGAGCACGCAGGCCGCCGGCCGAGGCGGCCAGACGGAGCCGACGGACGACCGCGCCGGCGGAGGGTCGCGGCAGCCGGCGGATGGCCAGCCGGTTGCGCAAGCGGGCGTCGCAATGCTGCCCTGGAGTGTAACGTCCAGTGCTATGCTGGCTGGCTGGAAAGTTTGTCGGTTGGTTTGCTGGCCAGTTCGTCGGCCGACGCTGGCCAGTGTTCCCACCACGAAGCACAGCAATTGTGACGAGGATCCTATAATGGATTCTAGGAATCCGATGAAGTTAGGTTAGTACTGGGGGAATGCAAGTAGGCATAGTTCCTCATTAGTATAGAAGATCCTTGGTTTAGAAGATGTAAGTGTTAGTGACTTTTGTGCTTTGTTGTGCTGCCAGTTGACTCTAAAGACTAAGTGACACGTTTTGCACGTGGGTGCCTTCTTCAAAGGATGTCACAGATTTACAGTCAAAAATATTTGTTGGCACTTGACTAATAATCACTGCAAGGAAACTATCGAATTTTCCTCGTCAGATTACATGTGGCGTGACTAGATACAATCGAAGATTGTGCATTTAAATAAGGATAACAATGAGGAATGAGCACGAAACACGGTGACAAGCAGGGCATTCACTGAAAGGTAGAGTTCACAGAAGTCAGGAGGAGTTCATCTTATTCCACAAGCTCTCCATTTAGTTGCTATCGGACCCACTCTCACTGGAACCATTTTCTGCAATTACGAACAACACGTTGAAGTGCTTTCATTGTTTTCGTCATCCGTACACGCTCCGCATTATCGACAGCTAGGATGTAATGTACAGGATGTGATTGCCTTTTATGGTCAGTTATTAAAGCACTTCTGTTTTTGTTGGTACCACTACACGTTCTCGTGAAAGTGTTAATTTCTGAGTACTTAAATAACTATACCAATCTACTAAAGAAAATTTCATGCACTTTGTTGTACTGTCGTTCGAATATTCGAAACAAGTTACCATTAAATATTCGATTATTCGGAATCCATATAAAAGCTCAGTGATTCCTAGCAGAGTTGCCTGAAGTTGACATTATAAGATCTCGGTGGCGGTGGTTTCATTTCCAGGCTTCCAAAACTCCATGGGTTGCGAATGGCTCGAATCCACAATCAGGCTTACTCATGCTTCTGGGAAACTCGAATGGCAATGGACAGAGGTGCAGTATTGTATAGGGTTGGTCGCTGGTTTTAGATTAGCATCGGTCCAAACAAACCTCTTGTCCCTCCGGAGTACGAAATTATTGCCAGACTTGTTTGGGGAAAACTTGTTGCGATCCACTAAAGACAGCCACTGCCTGTGCTCGAGATGTGGGGAACCATCTACTGGAGCAACCCGAGGGTATCTACCAATGAGCGAGATAGTATCTACCAATATTGAGTGGCTTTTAGGAAGCAGACGACGCATACTGGCTGGTGGCATCTGAACCTACATGCAGAGTTTGAAGTAGGATGAGAGTAATTACCTCACACTGTCCATAAGTCGATAGAATTCGGCAAGAAAACTGTAACGCTAGTAAACAATGCGCCAATGAAAAGTGTCGGAATCAGGTAGCGGACTTATTTTCACATTTAGAAGCTCTTCGTGTGTGCTCGTAGGTTCGGTAAGTAGTTTTTATGTAGTATCTTTCAAATTTAGATATGTTTAGCATTAGAGCTTTCAAAAAAAGAAGATGATCACGATATTGAAGCTTTTAAGATTTCCAACGGAAGAAAGGGAGCACAAACATGAACCATACACTGAGAGACACCGTTGTGTCCTACTGAACAGAATTCTAATTTCGTGTTCAAAATATGAGCCTTGGAGCAATAAGGAGGAAGAAACGTATGTCATAGGCTCCGGAAAAACGTAAACTTATCATGCTAGAGCAGAAAAACTTTCCCTTGAAGGCAAAGATTTGTAGATTTTAGTAGTTTTTAATGCATACCTAAGAGGTTGCGTCATAAACTTAAGTCTTAACGAAGAGATCTTGATCAGTATTGGTTTATATAGAGATGACTCAGAGGAGAGTAGTACATCTGCACCATGAGTGATCCCTTGTACATCTTATGCTGTCTTTCAACAACGAGTCATGTTCGCTCTTTGTTGCCAGTAAGCACTACTTATCAGTACCAGAAAACCAAATCCATTCAACGTTGCCACAACCATCTTACCTGTTGGTGACCGTCACCACAGAGTTGCACCCGATCTAAGGACCCTTCGTAAATGCTTTTCGGTAACAGTCTTCCTCTAACTCATCAAGAATTCTGAACGTATTGGTAGCCTTGATTAGCGCTGGCAAACAGGGTCTTTACAAGCTTGGATTATGGTTTTGATTCGATCTCAGTCGTAACTTTCAACAACGTCTTACGGACCGGTTAGGGATTCGCATGCTTTCGCAGATGGTTTGAGTCAGATTTCGATTCTTGCTTATGTATCCACTTTGTATGTTTGACTTCACTTTAATCATTTATGAATATGTGCATTCATTGGAAGATGAAAATTTCTACAAAGAAGTTTACTATCCTTCCGACGGGAGAAGAGAATGTAAGAAAAGGAGTCAAATGAACAACACAAAGCATATCTTTGTAACCTAATCATTTAAACTAACCTGAAGGGATATGCGTTTTCGTTATTCTGTTTGAAGTTACGTGCCTGCTCCTTTTTATCTAGTGTGGTAGATAACAGTGTTATATTATCAGATGGGAGCGATTTCTGTCAGAACTAGCGCTCGCTTAAACCGGTCAGTTAATCGCGTTCTGGCGAACCGGCCTGTTTGTCGAGCGAAATTCGCCAGTGAAATAGGTCAGCAACGGAACCGGTACCATAGCGGTCGTGAGTAGTTTCGTAGGCAAAGCTTCGCTTTTATTAGGCATTGACTATGCGCCATTATATCTAAATTATGTTACTATACAAAGAAAAATAAAAAGAGATTTTGTTAGCCTATAAGAATTGCTGTAATTTCTTGGGAAAATGACTGCTCTTCATTTGGAGGATATTTGCCATCAGAATGAGATCAAGGCTTCGCTTCCTCAGATTAGTGAATGAATGAATTACGGTTAGGGTTGCGGAGATGTTGGGTTTGAATGCGGTTTCGCTGAAGCGAACACTCTGCTCACCTTTGGAGTCAAGAAGTTCTTTAGTAACGAATCAGCTTTCAGTTGAACAAAACTAAAACTGGCTCATTTTGGAGTCTTGGTAGGGAACATAACATGACATTTATACTTCTTGTTCGAAAATAGTGAAAACATACGATTGGTACAATGATATTTATACAAATAGGAGCTTTTAATTTATGTTGGCAAAAACGCTTTGCTCATTTCTACTTATTCGTTCTTAGTATGAACGGGGGCTGAACTGAAGAGACAATGACCCGGTATTGGTTGATAGTTCAATAGTCTGTCGAAAATGAAGAGTAAGAGGTAAGGAAATGAAAGAAGTAAACCACTAGGTCAATCTACGAATGGAACAGCTCATGGGACAAAATTTGAAAAGATCTTCACAAATGAATTATACCCGTGACGCACGTCATTGTTTGTTGCATCGTGGGAATGCATGTGAAAGTTGCTGAGTGTAGGAAGTGAGGACTGGGCTCACTGGAGTGTCTCAAGAAAAGAGCGGAATTCAAAACAATTCGTTGCGCTCAGTGAAGAGTTTGGTCATGAGGACCCTTAAATCCTTGGAATCTTTCTCGCAAATAGGATTTCTCAATGCTGCCGAGTTCGTCGGAAGTACAAAACGCAGAAATTAAATTATTTGCTCCTGATTTCTAATATTACTGCATAGATGTGTAATGACAGATCATATACAGTCCTTTTACAGATGATGCCACATCCTAAGTCAGTAGACCATTTCGCAGTCAGGTGAGGCTTTTCGAAAGAAGATTATATAGGGAGAAAACGAGGATGACCATATTTCTAGGACACTGAGAGGAGAATTCACTGGGACCATACCGTAGCCAGTTGTTTTAAGGGGGTGGAGCGATTCTTGCGTACCCACGTTACACATTTTCGATAATAAAACGATGTGACTACGGCTACGACGATGACGATGACGATGACGACGACATCTGCGTGTGCGTGCATTTACGGGGCTCGTATAGTTGTAGCGTATCGGAATGTAATATGCATTCGAATTCACATGTACACGGGACAGCGCCGTAGTAGGAGAGGACTGGGTGCCCGGTGTCTCTGCTTGGCGCGCGCTGTCTCATGCCGTCCCAGACGTCCCAGCCGTCCCAGCAACGACGTCGAGAGCTCGCCGCGCTGACCACCGCCTGCGGACGGCCGACGTTGACCAGACGGCAATCGCTAGGCGTCCGACGAATCTCGTTCACCATCCTCGATGCTCGATGCTCGATGCTTTACACACCCGGCGCACTCCAGCAGAAAGCGCTGTCGATTTTTCAGCTGCATACTGCAATCATTTGTGCACGCGCTGTCTCCCCGCTCTCTCTCTTTCTAGCTGACAGCCGCCTTTGTGCTCGAAATTCTAGACAGACCGACGAAGGTAATTTATGCGAACCTCGCCAAGGGATTTTAGCGCCTCCACGCACCACCAACGATGTGAACATGTGAATGCGGCTGTAAACTTATTATTTCACAAATGCACGATTTTTCCACAATGGAAACATGGAGGTGGGTGGAGCTGTTGTAGTAATTCCTTATATTTTACGGGCAGCCCAAGCGGTCCAAGTCCTGGCACGACCTCGCTCCGAGCCTACTAAGTCTGTCGTTCCTCTGGGGAAGGAAAAATTGGTGCTAGACTTGGCTAGGAGAATGCCACTGCCTCTAGTCTACGGGAGAACACGCCCAAAGAGGCTATCTCAGGATTCGAGTGGAAATCGACTCGACCAAGATTCAACGCCATTTGAAGACGCAAAAAATCTTCAAGCAGAATCCGAACTCACATGGAGAAGCACTCGAAGGCTTTCCTGGACGGTGAATGTAAGGAAATGCATCAAGCACTAAAGATGTTTGGATCCTCACAGTGTGATAAATGTGATGTAGGGTCATGAAATAAAAGAAAATGGTAAAAATGAAGATAATCGTTGAAATGCCGGTAGTTATCCATTGACAGTGAAGTGAACCTATATAGAAAAAGGCTATGGAGGACGCCATCGTTGCCCAGCAAAGCGAATCTTCACCTTTTCTTTTGCTGGATTATGAATAATTTGCTTCCCTAGTACTGGATTCGGTATTCAGTACTCGTCTGCTTGCACCGAATCATTTTAGAGGGCACGGAGCTGTTTGGAGCAGACTGGCTTTCAACTGGACTTTTTTTTTTTTACTAATCCCATACATTTTTATGGGAATATTTAGTTTAAATAAATTTCCGAAATGTTTTTGCACATATGTTAAGGCTAAAGATTTCGTTTAAAGGGATTCTTTTGGTGGGACATCGTGGCAGTAGTTTACGTAGCTCCCACTACTAAGGACATTGTGCTACTTGACGATTTTTTAAGGAATTTTGGTCACTTGGTAGTTTCTCTGGACTCTCTTCAGTTATTAAGCAAACACAAGGTTGATGAAAGGAATCATTTGGGTGGCGCTTCGGCATTTTCACCTTCTTAAAAAAGGGTTTCTCCATAGTATCCGTAAGTCACGACTACCATCTCTGTACAGGTGATCTTCATCCGAAATCAAGCAATAAAGAAGAAAGTTAATTTTATAGACAAACCAACAATTTTAGACCTGTTCAAACTCTATTTATTTAATATAAATACTTGACACGATGAGGAAGCGTGTGGCGCGGCGGTTGGAGGCGCCACTGCGACACACACGTGAAATCCATCCCCGCTCCCATTGCCCACTAAGCCTTCCACCCCTCCGGGGCCGACAAAATGATACCAGACTTGTCTAGGAGGATTGCAGTACTGGCTCGATACATCGGCAGGCCACCGCGACTCATTATAAACGCCAGACATGCATTCATTCACCTGCGAACGAAGCTTAATGAAGTCGAATGCACGGCTCATCCCTCAGGGATTGATCAATTGCAGGAGCTTTATTTTATCATCTTTTATGTGGCTAGATTTTGCCAGTAAGCAAACACCAGTTGTTGATTCATGTGAACCTAACTTTCAGCAAACACGTAGCTCAGCCATGCTGTGATCTTTTGCTCCTTTCTACCACATTTGGTCGTATGCAAAATTCTCAAGCTTTTCTCTGTTACTATAGTTTTCAAAGAAGCGTACGGGGTTGCCCGAGAAACGCAAGTTAGAAATGATTCGCTCCATTGGAGAAACACACTCCCATGAGCCAATGATGACTGACTTTGTGTTTAGGACTTCATTTATGAAAGTAGAATACGTAGTTAGCATCACGTGCAAATCCAGATGGAAAAACTAGAAATGATGTTAATGGCTTTGGAGATCGTTGAATACACAATGCATACGATCGTAGTGATTCTGATGCTTCACTGACTGCACCCGTATAGACGCTAGGTTTTATCCGCGGATGTGTTAAAGCATTAACACCGGATTACAGCAAAGTATTTCACCCAATTGCGATGAGATGGGGTGCCAGTTGCAAACGAACTTTGATTTATGGAAGGGACAAGTCCACTTCACAGTTGCTCATCCTGAAGAGGAATGCTTTGAGATTTCCTTCCGTCAACCGCACCAAGCGGCCTATGTCATGCCAGAGTCAGGCAAATTGATGTTCTTGCAAAACGCTTAAAAAGGGCATCTTACAATCATTGTGAAGTTGTCCACTATTTCACCTGAGTAAGCGAACCCACAGAAGAGTTCTTGCAAGTAAAGACTTCACTGGTGGCCCACCCTGGTTAGTCTGTGATTAACCGGTTCACAGAGGCCGATTACTTGTGATAAATCATCGGCCTAGATTTGAAGTTGTAGGTTTTCTAGATGGAATTATCTATATTGTCTTCATTGTTCTTCACTGTATATTCCTTCTGGTGTATTTAATAGGGTGACTTGCTATTCAGTTCAGTATTTGTTATTTCTTTGAACTTTCGTAGGATAAGAGAATCTCACCGTAATATTTATTTCAAATCCCTAAACACCGACTTTTGTTTAGCCTTAATAAAAATAATCAATATTTTCTCGGATTATTGAGCTGACACAAGGGTGGTATAACACTTGGCTAATATTTCAACGTCTTCTTTTTCAGAGCCGGATTGATCCCAGTCGATGGTCCACAACTGTTCGTCTTCTCTATGTGTCGTCTTCGTCTCCGCGCCGAGTGAAGTGCGGTGAAGTGGAACACCGATCGAATGGAGAATCTCAGTCGGCATTGCCTTCTTATAGAAAATAAATGTTGACCTAGTGACGCCATACAATATTTCACACTGATATGTTTTTCACCTGCATGCACTTCCGCTGATAGTAGAGTGACTAGAACAACTTATTTGTTACCAGTTCCCAGGATCGACTTTCTACTAACTTCGGCATTGAATTTTAAATTCGTCGTTTTCTTTCTCAGCAGTTGCGAGGTTGTTAAACAGCATACGTTTACTTCCATACAATAACACACAACACAATCGCAGCTGACGTTTCGGCAGAATCGCCTACTTCAGAGCCTGGAACGGTATACTGATATACAATTTGCTAGGGCAAACGCTTCAATAACACTTACAAAAAGACGAAAAACTCTTTGGTAATTACACGATCAACAACTTCTTGAAAAAACCCACCGCTTTTTCGTGACTTCCAATGAGGAAGTTTAGAACAGCTGATTATAGTCGCATGTGGTTGACGACTGCACCATCCCACATCAAAAATCGATGCGAACGTACGGGATCAGGTCGCGTATGATCTCCGGGCATTCGTCCCTGCTATTCATTGTAGGGTTTTTGGCATTTATCCAAAAAGCCTCAAGGAGTTTCCGCGCTGGTGTTTTAGTCTCCTGTGCAAGGATACTGACTTTTACTTCAAAATCGTCTCCGCTATGCTTTTGTATCCTATGCGTGCCTAGTGGGGTGCTTCGTCTTAGTTTTCGTTTGCCATCTAGGTGTTCTTTTATACGGGCAAACAAGGGTCTGCCCGTTTCGCCAATATATTCATCTCCGCAATTATTACAAGAGATCAGGTATATCGTACTTGAACTCATGCAATCACCGTCCCTGCCGTAAGGGCAAATTACGCAATTTGTTGTTTCACATAGACGGTCATACAGGCGGTTACGAACTAATTGACGACGCAGAGTAGCCGGTGGTATTTCAACTATCGCTACCGAATCCTCTAGACCTTTCCTTCTTAAGCATCGTTTTATAGCTGCGCTTACTTCATCGCTTATAAAAGGCAACATAAACGGGACTTTCTTTTGGCCAAGTGTTTCGCGTGGGCGTGTCGTTCCTCTTCTAAACTTATCTCGTGGGGTTACTATTTCGTAGCCATTGGAGACGGCTGTTTGCCGAGCCAAGTCGCTCGATTCTTCCTTTAGTTCCCTGGTAGTGCACACAGAGGTGGCTGTTCGAAACATGTTTCTCACAATCGCCCTCTTTGTGTGTGAAGGGTTGGGTTGAAAGGAAATGAACAAGAATGTTCTTGTTACTTGGCTTTCGATACCACTTTGTCAGATAACCGCTACTTGATAGGTTTATTTGGACGTCCAAAAACGGAAACCAGTTTTCTCTCGGTTTCTCCCGGGTGAACTTAATGCACTCAGACTGCTCGTTCAGTAATTCGAATCATTTGTCCATCTCTTCCTGCGTAGAGAAGGCAACAAAACAATCGTCTATATATTTGCGGTAGAGGAGTGGCCGGAACAGGGGCTTCTATCATAACACATAAACACAATGGCAAAGCTTGGTGCCAGTCGCTGTCCCATTGCAAGACCTCTCAATTGCACGTAGTATTTCTCAGACTATCAGAAAATCGAGCAGGTCAGGCACTCTTTTAAGAAAGCCATATCTCTTGAATGGACAAGCCATGCATTGCGAAGTCATTCGACACGTTGGTGTACAGTGCGGTAACGTCGAAAGACTCCATCACGTACGCGTTATTAGGAGACGCGTTACGTAGACGTTCTAGGAGCATTTGGGTGTTTGTGTGGTGAGCTGGAATGTGATTAAGCAACTGGGTAAGTATCAGGCTTAAAAACCAGGTTATTCTATCCGTTGGCTCGTCTACACAGCTGATGATCGGTCTAACCTTATATGATGACGGATTGGTTGACCCAAGATCATCAGGTGATACCAA